AAAGCACCATACACTCAATAGAAAAACAGTTGCCCATATACACTCAATAGAAAATGAAATATTCAGTCGAAAAACGCTAGATAGGCTTGTAGTATTTTACCCTCTTATTCTTATTTAATACTAAATTAATATTTAGTATTAACAACAACAGTCGAACATATATTTCCGCAAGTGTTACTATTATTGATCATTATTTATTGTTTTTGCATATACATATATTTAAAAACTTGGAAATAATACTAAACTTTGAGAAAAGGTGGTTACGATTATAGAAACTTTTACACAGAAATTAAGTTACAATATTAAATAAGTTTGAATAAAAAAGGACATAATTTCTCATTAGTCTAAAAGTATAGAAAAGTGTACTTTAAAAAGTAATTATCGTGTCAAAAATTGGAAAAATTGGGAAATGAAATGATCCATATACACGCTATAAAGCTCCCGAATTGTCAAGTGAATCAAAATAAAATCTGAAATTAAAATGGCCATAGCGTGGGCTGGATTGTTCATAGTCAGCATTACACGATCATCTTTTAAACATTATAAATCAAATGTTCACCATCCACCATACCATCAACAAAAGCGATTCGTTTCTGGCACTTCGCCGGCCGCTGCCGCGGCACGCTCGCTACGCTCGCTCGGCTCGTGCGTTGTTTTTCATACACTAACCTAACCTAACCCATATGACATAATAAATCTATACAAGTTTAGGTCCGCCTCTTGTTATGTTTACAGTTTGAAATTGCCTAGAAAAAGTTAGTAAGTTCTATCTTCAAATGAATTATGTTTAAGTACACAAAGTATATACACAAAGTACCATACGTCAAAGAAAAAGGGTCTCCATACATTATGGCTCGTTTCGCTCGCATTTTATTTAAGTCACAGTTCTTAACTTACCAATTAATGAAATCTCTCTAAATGGTCACTCTTTATGGCTCGCTTCGCTCGCTTTTTGTTTTATTCACAGTGCTAATCTAACTGATTGATCAGGTCTCTGTTAATGGTCTCGCATTATGGCTCGCTTCGCTCGCTCTTCATTTTGGTCACAGTTCCTTAACCAATTGACCAGGTCTCTATTTATTATGGCTCGCTTCGCTCGCTTTTTGTTTTATTGACAGTTCTAATCTTACCGATTGACCAGGTCTCTATTGATGGTGTCCTTTATGGCTCGCTTCGCTCGCATTTTATTTTAGTCATAGTTCTAACCCTACCAATTAACCAAATCTTTCTTAACAGTTGCTCCTTATGGCTCGCTTCGCTCGCTTTTTGTTTTAGACTCGTTGCTAACATAATCGATTGATCACGTCTCTCTTAATGGTCTAGCATGGGCTCGCTTCGCTCGCTCTTTATTTTGGCCACAGTACTTTAAGCAATTGACCAGGTCTCCGTTAATTATTGCTCGCTTTTTGTTTTATTCACAGTTCTAATGTAACTGATTGATTAGATTTCTATTGGTGGTGTTCTTTATGGCTCGCTTCGCTCGCATTTTATTTTAGTCACAGTTCTTACCTTACCAATTAATCAAATTTCTCTAAATGGTCACTCTTTATGGCTCGCTCCGCTCGCTTTTTGTTTTAGTCACCGTTCTAATCTAACCGAATTACAATGTCTCGCTCGCTTTATTTTTCTGGCGAAAATATTGGAATTTTTTCTCACCACGTAAAGATTGGGTAACGATACACAAACGGTTTATATATGCTTTAAAGCTCTCGAGTCGCCAGCTCGATCAGAATCATTCTGAAATTTATATGGTGACTACTATCAGCGCTGCTAGTCGATCACTCAAATTATTCCATCAATTATTTTATAAATGCAATAGTGAAATTTTAGCATGAAAACTTTCATTAAGGATGACATACATGAAAATTTCCTAAAAATCTCGGTATCAAAAAATTTACAGATTTTTTTTCATCTGGCAACACTTCAGCAGAATACATATTTTTTGTCAAAAGTGCTCTTAAAAATGTTACCAAAAACGCCAAAATCAGCTCTATTAAGTGAAAGTCGTGAAAAATTATCAATTTTCTAGATAAAATGGTCGCTGTTAAAGCCGCCATCTTGAATTTTGTAAATTGAACCCCATACCGGTGTAGCACACCTATTGGCGCATCCAACGCAGTTTTTGTTATTTTCCTAGCGGCTATAATGACTGCGCTAGAGTCCAAAACGTGAATAGTGGACATTAAATATTCAACCCGCCGTAGCTGCCGGTGTTGCCAGGTGTAGGCAATGAAAATAGTCAAATGTGATTTCGGGACGCGCCTTCCATCGACGGATACTAATTTTCAAGTTCTAAAAGTGTTCCTTTGACAGTTACAGTTTTTGGGGTAAATCTCAAAAACTACCCTAAAGTCGGGTAATTTTTTTCCACCATATGAAAGAGTCTATAGAGACACACAATCGCTCCATACATGCCAAATACTTGTAGGGTTGCCAAGTCGGTCAAAATCGAGGTTGAATTTCAAACGTTGTTTGCTCTCAGTGTTGCCAGTCGATCGTTCTATTTTTTCCATCGGGTAACTTGAAAAGTTAAAATTAAAATATTTGCATCGAAAAAAATTCAAAATTCGACAAAAAGTGTTTCCCCAAAAATCTCATAAAGTATCAAAAATTTTCAAGATTTTTTTTCACCTGGCAATACCTCAGCTACTTGCCTAAAAATTGTTTCCCCGGAAGTAGTCTGACAAATGTCGCCAAGTGCGTCAAAATCGGCTCGACGTGGTGACGATACCCAATTTTTCAGATAAAATGGATGCTGGTTTGGCCGCCATCTTGAATTTTGAAAATGCGGCTCCGTACCGGTGTGGCCAACTCGATAGCGCATCTGATGTAGTTTTAACCATTTTCCTAGTGGCAATACTGACCGCGCTAGAGTCGACAAAGTAAAAAATGGGCAAAATTTTTCAAATCGCCGCTCTTACCAGGGTTGCCAGGTGACGACGATGAAAATGTTCAAATGTCATTTTGGGGAGTGCCCTCCGTCGAGGAAATTCATTTTTGAAATTCCCAAACGGCTCCTTCTACTTTTCACCTTTTTGGGGTAAATCTCCGAAATTACCCTAAAATCGGGGAAAAATTTCACGTCATTCGAAAGAGCCAGCGGAGACTCACGACCAGTCCATACCAGGCGAAGAGCTACAATGTTGCCATGTAGGCTAAAAGTGCGTTTGAATTTTTCGAAAAAGTGAAAAAATCACAAAATGGCCGCTGCCGGCGCCGCCATATTGATTTTCCCGAGTTTCACAATTTTCCCATAGTCACGACTATATTTGGCGCGACACCTCATTCACAGATTTTCTCCACTGGCCACCCAGGTTCCCAAACAATTCGGGTTATGAGGGCATGTCGAAAAACACGTTTTCTACCGTGGAGCCCAGGGTTGTCAGCTCGCGGAAACGAAAACTACCAAAAGTCATAGGGCTCCCCCGGCGCCACACCACATCGAGTCTGTTTTCCGCGAAAAGTGCGTATTTCCAAATTTCACTTTTCTCCCAAAATCTCCTAAACTACCACGAAAATGGTAGAAATTAGTACTAATGTGGAAAGATCCTACTAATCCTCACGACCGGCCTATAGAACGCGAATCCGTCCGACGCCGCCATCTTGAAGAAAATCGCACCGGAAAATGGCGATTTTTCATTGCCAAAACAAAATGGCCGCCCCCGCCGCCGCCATGTTGCCGCGCAAATGAAAACTCCCCATACGTGAAAATCGACTATATTTCCGAGTCGCCAGCATAAAAATCCCCCCTCCGAACCCACCACAAAAGAAACGACATCCGCCCGAACAGAGGTCGAAAAATGTCAATTTTCTAGGTAAAATATCTCGGCCGCCATTTTGTTTTTTTAATCAAACCCTTTTTCAGTGTCATTTTTTTAGCCAAATCTACGACCATTTTGAATATCGTAATCGTAGAGTGTATACTGTAGAAATTAAAAAAATTATCTCGCCGCCATTTTGTTTTTTGGCTGCATAGGAATACCATTTCAACTCATTAAAAAAAATATTGTCAGTCTCCATACATGAAAACGTCATTTTCCACTCTTCTACCCGAAAAAAGCATGGAGTGAGTGAGTGAGTCAGTCGAGTGGTAATTAAGCTTTATATATTATAGATATATATAGATAGATAGATAGCTCCAAGCTGAAAGTTGGTATTCTTTTCAGTAATTACCTTTATATAACCACCCATAGCTACTTATACTTATATCAACAGTTAAAAACCCCCATGTTGATTTCATTTATTTATAACCAAGTGATATTTTTGGTCATTCTATATTTAGATTTTGTCAAACTAACTTAACTAGGGGCCAGACACTTTGGAAAAAACTTAAATTTAGATACCCTTCGGTAAAGGTAGCGCTTTATACTGAAGAGTTCAAGCGTCTAGTAGATTTGTATTGTGTTGTGAATACGGTATTATACTCTCTTTGAAATAATACTCGTAACTGATTAATAAAAAAAAAACCCCTTATAACAAATATTTCGGAAAAATAAACACGTTTTCTTGCCTTAAATGTAAAAACTTTTTTATACCCTCCCTCGAAAACAATGGCTGCCATATTCATTTGAATGATCGATTTCGAAATAAAAAGATATACATAATATTCTTAATGAAAAATGTTCAAAAAATACACTTAGTCCCTGGCACTCTGAGATGGGACTCGAACCGATGATATTTCGCACAACCGGGCGACTTTATTTTTACATATTAAAAATAATGTATACTCATTTTTACTATTATTTTATCGAGACAGTTCTGCATTTAATGTTTCTGTTTTCACAAAATGGTAGATGGTATGTTTAAGTGAATCTTTTTTTTCAGCAAATTTCGCATGTTAAGATAAGCTAATGCTCATATAAAAAATATTTAAAACGCAAAGAAATTAATAATCTTTTTTTTTTGTTACAGATATCGTAATACAACAAAGCAATTCATGACCAAACGGACAGATGCTTAAAAAAAGAATAAGAACTCGCCAATATGCTTTATAAGACAAAATGGCGGACTACAGACGCGATGCGTTTATAACGGTCTGCGGGCGCGTAAACGGAAACACGAGGCACTCAACAAAATGGACGACGGAAGTTGTGTGGCTATTTGCGCTGTTAGCCGTTTGTCATGGCTACCAGGAACAGAGATTTGCTATGGAACCTCAGGACCAGGTAATTATAGTTTGTTTAGTTGTTTAATGTCACAGATTGTATTGTGTAGGTAAGTGAAGTACAGGGTTTGATGAATCTTGAAGCCATACGGTAATTTTTCTTTTTGTGAAAATGTTATTTCTTTGAAAAGCACGTTCTTTTTCTTTGCCGTATGATGACCAAACGAGTGGTTGGAAAATATTTTTTCCGAGTGGCATCTGTGAGGGTTTGTAAGATTTGTGAGGAACTTTTCTTTATTATTTCGGAATTTGGGTGTTGGGTTACCTTAGTTATATTGGATTTCCTTAAGATAAAAGCTACTTATTTTGTGTTCTGAAAAATGTACCTAGCATTATGTTGTCTAATATTACCAATGTGGCCAAAGATATTTTTGTGTATAGTGGTTTGATCTGTATAAATTAATTCAGCTATCTTTTTTCGAACACTGAGCCTTCAAGTGTTTAATTCTAAGTCTGCATACAAAACACTTTTATTCAACTTGTATAATGGAATCCGTAGTCGGTATGAGCTGTGGATTCGTTCTTCGTATCTATTTCTATCTACAGAAAATCCTTTTACTTCAAGAATGGGGATGAAATAAGTCACTTGATAAGCACTAAAGAATTTTCAATAGCAATATCCCGTACCTAATTTTAGTAATACTGGCAACACAACACAATTTTATAACTTTATCTCAGCACCATAAGATCATAAAGAGTGGCAAAAACCTATAATATACCTAATAAAATGTTTCATTTATTTTTTATGTCTATCAGCTTTAAGTTTATTGGTTTTAGACGACGACTAATTAGCTAAATTAATTTAACGACCCGAGTTCGTTAGCCTTTAAAACTATTTTGAGTGGTATTTATATTTTCTTATAACAAACAATAGTTTATAGTCATTAGTGTAAGAATAAGTTATATAAATAGCCTATTAAAGCTTGGTTTTGTCCTGTTTATTATAACTACATAGTAAATTTAAAGTAGCTTTCCGTTTGTCATTCCTTATATTTCTTAGGCTTTTGCATCTTTTAAGCTATGGAGCTGATTTCGTTGCTGTTTGCGTGTTGGCATACGATTTCTTTTTATTTTTTTCAGATCCGGATCGCATTGGTTATTAGTTGAAGTAGGTAATAGTTTCTGGAACTCATTATATCTTTTTTCATTCGTTTGGTCTTAAAAAGTAATTATATTAATATTTTTCTCTTCATTTATACACACAACCTTTATTGTTACGTACCAATGAGGTAAAATTACAAAAAAAAGGTTATAGAAATCACATTGAATGTCGTTACGTACATTGAAAACTTTGTATTGTTGAACCAAACGAAATTATATGTATACGATTTTTTCCTGTTGTAACAGAAGTAAACTAAGTTTTCAAAATTAGTAAATAAATATAGGTTTATAAGTACGTATATACATGATAATATAGATATATATATATGTTTCATTACAGGATTATAGCTTCAATCGAATAAAACCTTTATTACCTTTCTAAGTAGATTTAATTTGCTACGTCACCAATATGTTTGATTATTGCATGTTATAATAATAGCTTTTTGTTCTATATAAACATCCCACAGTAATTAGAGTTTGGAATAAAGTCAATTGACAGCGCGGAAGAAGCTTAAAAATAAACAAAATTTACTTATGTAACAATTCCATTTTGTTCGTTTTGAGAATTGAATTTGATAGTATGGTTAGTATGGGTATGATGACTGGGTAAAAAAAAATGCAATTCTATTTAGTCCGTCAGTCAGATAATAGAAAAATATTAGATACGTATTTTTTTTTTACTTAAATTTTACAAGAAATAGCTTAGATAACAGGCATTAAAGTTGAGGAGTGGGGGCTCGCTACGTCACAGTTGAGTAGAAAACGTACCATAACGTGACGTCATGTGAAAATTCAACTCCATGTAACGCCGTAATTTTATGATTACGAAAAAATAAAAAAATATGTGTTTAATATTTTTTAACACTCTACCTGACGGACAAACAAACAAAAATTAGTCATCATCCCTATTGTAATGTTTTTAGGGTTGCGTAACTAAAGAGTAAAAATCCTATTCGTCTCCGACTCCGCTATCCATCCGTTTTCAGTCTGTCTATATGTCTTTATTTCACACTTTCACAGATGATGTATTTATGTTAGCGCTATAATCACAAATAATAAAAACAGAATAAATAAATTTCAAGTTTGGTTCCAAATTATAAACGTGTTTTTGTTTGCATTTTTTATAAATAATAGTAAGGAAGCCTTCGTTCGTTCGAAGCCATACATGATTCGTACCCGGCCCGTATTTTATATTATAATAAACCAAGTAGAAATATGGAAGAAACTCGTTGTAGTTTTGCTTTTAAATGAAAATAGTAAATTTTTCATTTAAATAATCTAACACGTTAATAAGACAATATCATTAAAATTCTAGAAAATATTTATAGAACTTGATTTATTAACAATAAAAATATAAAATCAAAGGAAGTATTTAATTTAACTATGAATAAATCAATATAAAAGCTAAACATTCTGTATAAATTATTTGACATGTTACCGTTAATATAATTTTATATTAATATTCAATTTTATGCATCGGATTAGCGGAATCCAGTTACAAATACATTCATAATTTACTAATTTTGGGATATTAAATATTTTCTACACAAAAATTAAGGCGACACAAATGTCTTATTTTGAAATGTACCCCAATTCCTTTCAATGATATAGCTATTGCGATTTATAAAATTATGTTACGTAAATGTTTATGGAATTATATTACGTTTAAAATCGCAATTGCTTTTAGAAATAATGGTTTAAATAATAGAGAAACATGATTGAATATTAGTCGAAAGATTGCAGTTTGCATACAACTCTTTCGTTTGACATTTTTGTATTCCAATTCGATATTTTTTAAGCATTTTTAATTAAAAATATTTAACAGTATAGCATTGTGAATGCGCAATTTATCAGATATAATAAATACATAACAATTTCCATACGAATGAATTAGATTTTTAAAATGCTAACATGATAAAGTTTTACTTCTAGAAGCTAAACTTGAAATAAAAAGTTTTTTCAATTGCTGGCCTTTATGGGTAGGTATTCTTCTTTTGATTTTTCAAAGTCGATAATTTTTTTGATAAAAGTTTAGGTTATACTGTTATTTCTGTACGAAGTGTATACGTCACTTCAAATTGACATAACTTATTTATTTGTGAACCGATTGAAATAAATCTTACATTAAATGTTAACGGAAGAATACCACAATATAATAGTGAAAATTTAAAGCGGTTTAGCCGTTTCTGAGATAATCGTACACAAACGCACAGACAAACAGACAAAAAATTTAAAAATCATTGTTCTGTGTTACTAGAATACAGAACAATGATTTTTAATTTTTTTTTATAAATGTCCCTCATAACAGTTTTTTATATCTTCAATGTACAGACATCGTTCAGTTACGTTTTTATTATAGTATAGATAGATAGATATTATATAGTAAACCGCATACCTTAATAATAAATTTGCCGTAATAAAGTATGACCTTCAACATTAATAAGACTAAAGTAAGCGCCTTAACCAATAATGTATGTTTGTTTCTATCAACTATTTTGGACGGAGTGGTCCAAGTTTATAGACCTTTGTATTTCATTGGCGTAAAAGCGACAAGTTTAACCACAACCGTTTGAATCAGAGTTCAAAGCGTGAAGCTGCTATAAAACATTTCTTAGCACTGACTTTGATTTTTATTAACACATTATAAAAGAAACAATAGCATAATCTTATTTCTCTCTTAGATACTTATTGAAGCAAAAAATGGATTTACTTTCATTGGATTTTTCTTATCTCATTTTATGCAGATCGAAAATCTGTTCTCTAGCGTTTTTCATGAAAACCAAATAATCAGGCTTAGTAAGGTTAAAATAATAATAATCCATTAAGATTGGCTACTGACAACTAATTTACATTAAAAATTGGGTTAAAATTCATCGTGATTTTTTAAGCAGATTACATATAAAATAGATAGATAATGTTTTATAAAAATATTAATAGATTCTTTCCCTACCTTATCGTCAGCATTTATTTGTCCAATATTGGGCTATGATTTCCCCCGTTCATACCAGCGCCATTTGAAGGTTGTTTCACATATCATCTTGCCTTTAGTTTTCTAGTTGTCTGCTTGATGTTCATGCCCGCCATAGAGTTACTTTTGTCTCCAGCCCATTGCTCCTTCAACTTAGTCAATCGCTTTCCTATTACCATAGCACCGGACCGATTGCGTACCTCGGTGTATGCCATCTATTAGTGTCCACGTTTCACAACCATTAGTTAGTTTCTAACGGCGGGAAATAATTATAGGCTAGATTTTCTACAAACAAATTATTATTCTAAATTCTTTACTCGCTGTTGCTTATAACTTAGACTGTGCGTTTGTGGTAGCATATATGTATACTAATTTGAATTTGTAATTATTAGCTCATTTACATAAGTATTCTGTTTACTAGATTGTTTTCTTTTATCGTCACATCAAAATCGGCCATTAAATCTAAAAAACACCGAATAGAATATATTAAGAAAATAGAATAATATAAAAACCTTTTTCTTATCCGGGTAGAATTAGAGAAAGTTAATATTAATTAATTTTAATTTAGCATGGCTTTATTTTGTAATAAAAATTATGTCTAGGGCACATTGCTTTCTTACAAATCGTGATACTACCATATAAGTATAATTAGGAATAAGTTTTTGACTAATTGTCAATTGGAGCAATCTCATCTCAAGCTTATTGTAATATTTATGTGAATTAAAAGATATTATACATTTGTACAACTTCTTTAAGTGTATTTTGATCGCATACACTTTTAAAGGTTATCTCTCTTTTAATATCACGATCTTTTATTTTACCGAATAATTTTTCTATCTCTAATGATCATTAAAAGCTGTGTTTCTGTTTTAAAACTAAAAAAACTCGTGCCTCGGAAGCATATTTGAGAGAATATTAAATTATTTAAATTATTACGTACCGTTTTCATTACATATTTAATGAATACGTATTTTTATGTTTTATTTATTATAAACAAAGAAACAACTACATATTAATATCTATTTTAAACTAGTATTTTGACTAGCTTTCCGCCAGTGGCTTCGCCCGCGTGGCCTGTATTATACATATAAACTTTCTTCATGAATCACTCTGTATATTGATGAAAACTCACCGTACAGACAGCGGGAAGTGACTTTGTTTTGTATTACGTATAGATTGTTGTCTTGTAAGACCGTTGTCATAATTTAGTTGCAATTCAGTCTAACACCCAGTTGCACAAACGTATACGCACTCACCCAGTAGCTTTTATGTAAATTTTAAATTTCAAATGAAAGTGTGTGTTATAAAATGGTACAAAAGATGTCCACAATGTCTTATTCATAACGCATTTTCTTTGAAACAGTCATCATGTCAAAAAGTACTTTGGACACAGACAAGTGATATAAATTCCCTTTTTGAAGATAAACTCGCCTCTCTTTACCTGTTTCGCGTTTTACAACGTCTCATCTTGAAAGTACACTGTAGTAGACGGTGCTAGTCCGCCATTTTGAATTTTTCAATAACATAAATGCTTCTCATATTTTTCTTGAGCGTGTACCCAGTTTTGCAATAGCGTTGACATTAACATGTTTCTCCTTTTAGTATTTACGTTATATATAATATATAATTTCAATTAATTTGAAGATTATTTGTAAATACTTTCTCGAGTTTCTAAGCATTATAGAAACTCGATATATATATTAAAGCATACTGAATTATGTGAGTATACTGTCTTGATTCTTCTTCCAATTCTGAGGTTCCAATTAGGTTATCTATGAATTTTGATTCTAGTCGGATTTCAAAAATCTTCTGTATTTGATAGTATGATTCTGAAATAAGGTTAAATATAAACTAATATGATATCAGTTATATAACTTCATGCTTGCAATATTCAGTCGAATATACTCAGCGCTGGCGTAGCATAAAGGTTCAATCAGATAAAACTTAATTCAGAAGGTAATAAAGATTTAAATCATTGAACCTCTATGCTTCAGCGATGTGATACCAAGGTCGAGGAGACCTTTATTACAGCAACAGCAACAGCAAAGCATATGTCCTTCGAAATATGCAGCTCACTATTAAATTCTTAAATGTCGTTAAGTGTCAAATTAAAGCAACCTTATATCTTAACAAATATATGTCAATTTACCTGACACCTTACACACGTCTCACGACTCGTAAAACATAACAAAGGCATATTAAAGCTTTACGAGAGAGTTTATTGTCCAGGGGAACTATAACCTGGGTTATTATACTGTAATCCTGTTTGATGGAAGCTGCAACATACTACGTTTTCGTTTATTAGGACTTAATTAAAAGTAGTTGAAAAAAAATTGTTTGATCATGCATATTATGAAAGAGGATACGGTAACTCTGAAAAATATATGTACACTGACTACTCGCATATAAAGAAACAAACCTCGCAATTCCTACCAAGTAATACTGTACTTGTGTTTTGCTCAACCACGGAGCTTCTTCGGGTATTTTGCAGCAATTAACTCTGCGCAAAAGTTGATCATTATCAGTCTATTAAAGTTCCTACTGCTGGGGTACGGGCCTTCCATTTTTTTATAATAGGTGAATGCGTTAGGCACTATTCTCGCTGCTTGACATGCGGCAGGGACTGTGAGGGACTCTCTCTCTCTCACACTCACCATCCGCACGAACCCTTTTTTTCGTAGGCATAATAATTTATGCACTGGCACACCCACCAAACCCCTCGGATACACCTTCACTTTTGGGGGAAGGACTTGGTATCCAGCAGGGACTGCTCCACATCGAGCGATACAAACCCCGGGCACAGGCCTTCCCTATAAATGGAGTTAATAGAGATTTTACCATGATCCACTATGTATGCTTAGTGCGGATTAGTGTTTGATGCAGCCAGGATCAATGGTTTAAAGTGCCTTCCAAAGCAAGGAATAGCTCGAGATAATACGTTTTTGGTCAATCATCGTAGGACCGGCTCTTAACGCTTGAGCGTAATAAACACTGCTTTATCGAGCTCCTTGTAAGACTTTATAAAGAGTTACAATAAGCTAACGATCGATTGTATTGCTGCCTGTTGTGATACCTTACCATAATTTTTGACAATAGTTCCAGCCAAAATTAAGTTTGACTTATGATTGATTTGTTTCCACAGAGTGCAATAGTCGGTTCGAGGGTGATATTCCCTTGTCGTGTGGAAAACAAAGCGGGTACACTTCAATGGACAAAAGACGACTTCGGTCTTGGCACACATCGCAACCTGAGTGGCTACGAGAGGTACACGATGACTGGGAGCGACGAAGAAGGTAATTTATCACCATATACTTATTTTTATAGATACATCCAATTGCAAAAACGTTTGTTAAAATTGTCACTTATTTGCAATATTACCGACACAAATTTTCAAATTTAAAACATTTCAGATGCTCATCCACTGCCTCAGTGAGCACGCACCGGTCGCACGACATACTTATATGACATCGACAAATCCGTGCGATGCGTTGCGTCTAAACAGCATCTAAGGATGCTTCTATGGAAAATGCGAGTGTCAGTTTTGACGTTGGAATTGTGACGATGATGTCATAGGATTTTTTATTATAATCTGTTTCGTATCGTGCGGCCGGTGCGTTCGTACTGACATATACATAGATGCTCACTTTTATTCGAGTTTAAAGTCATCGTTTGTGCATTGGATGTATGATAGTATTAGATTTTGATAAGTTTATTTAGGTATGCAAAATATACTTTAAATTTAATATAATAATGTGATGGTAATGATGTTAAAGCGTCACCGTAAAATAAAATGTATAGAATAAAACGTATGTAGGACAGACTGATTATTCTCATTACATTGATAAACTCGTATGTTATTATTAAACAAATGTTGAAGTACAAATAAAATGTTTCTAAAATTTAATTTTATTGAGAAATACGTATCTAAAATATCGGATAAACAAGCATAGTTTGATTTATGAAATCCTCACAATTATAATTCCCCTGCTTTATAATAATACAAACGGATTAAAAAAAAACTTTATTATTATTTTGTTATAAGGTTAAGACTTCTTCTGTTCTTTCATGTAATGTTCAATATGAATCAACGTGAAGCTAGCATTTGGCTCGCTTAAGTAGTTCACATAATGCTATTTGAAACAGTGACGCAATCAAGGGACGTAACATATTATTTAGGTGAATTGTCTGTTTCTAAGTGAAGACGTATTTTATTTAGGGTAAATACTCTACGCGTCGCCCACTAGAGAAATGGAGTAACCAGAACTTCGTAACAAAAATAACTTTGCTCAAGAAAGTCGATGAGAAGAAACATTCGTTGTTGTTATGCTCGCGAAATTATCATACATGTTTAAGTTAATATATAAAACTTCTTCTATTATTATTATTTTAATGGTTATTTCAAAAAAAAAAAAAGAAATTCTGCATAAATTCAACATGTTATATGAAATATTGTCTGTATGTATTGTGTCACGTGATACAAATAAATGATTTGATCTTGCCGTTGTCCACGATAGTCGGGTAAATTTACTAGAAAAGAACAAATTTCTCCTGCTACCAACCTACACTGTGCCACGAAGTATGTTGTAGTATATTCTTCACATTTTGATTCCATCCATAGGGAATACTTGTTCAGTAGGGTTAATAATAGATTGATGGTGATGTCATCATCTTCATCAGATTTTGTTGATGATGATGATTTTGTTGTTGTTGATGATGATGATAATATAGTGCTGTATTTACAACTGAAGTAACTACATTCATGGGATCAGTATTCTATACTTCTATTCTTATAAATATAATTCTTTCAAAACATGGCATTTGGCTTCAAATATTATACTAACCTGGCCAGCCAATAAGCTGTATCGCAAGAATATGGTGTCACAGTAGGACTTGACCTCGGCATGATCAAGACCACTGACAAGAACGTACGACTTAGATGAAGAAGAAATAAATTTTTACTTCAACGCTTACGCTCAACTTCACCATATAACGTTCACATAGCGAAGTATGGCAAAAATAATTATGTCAAAGGATTCGACATGACCTCCCCCGTTTAGTGGTGTTATGGCTTCACCGATACACAATTTGAGATCGATTGAAATAAAAACCTGACTAAACCGACTAACAGGAGATATACATCAAACGAAAATGGAAAAGCTTTAGGATCGTTACTTTGGCGCCAATCCAGAAATAAAATCTACGCCACCTCATAATTTAAAAGAGTAACTCATGATGTAATATTTGCCGATTGCATCGTTGGCAGTTATGGTTGTGAATACAAATCAAAGTCATAAGAAAAAAATGATTTATTCAGATTGGTAACATTTACAATATTTTTTGAATAGCCCCATAATTTTTCCTGCTATCAGTGTGAACAGGATTTCTATTAACTATAAAAAAGAGGTACATGAACTAAGATCTATTAAAACTAAGTTTAGAGAAAATAGTAGTTGTAAAATTAATCCCAAGAATTTATTTAAATTGAAATACATTATTATCTGATATATTTTCGATCTAATTAGCCTCAAAGTTGTTGCCATTTTCCTTAATATCTACCAGTCTTTCTGGGCTAATGTGAAAGAATAGGTATCGGTAATTGAGACAAACGACCTGTTTTGTAGATAAACTATGAGAACGTTAATAGCTCGTCTTAAAATAAAGTTGAAGGTATACTTTATAATTAGAAGAGCAAAGGGAATAAGTTTTTCTAGAAAAAGAATAGGGACTTGATATATGTTTTATAATGGTATGTTAAATATATGTATTTAATCGATATGTTAGATTGACAGAGCACTTATTTTTTACATTTTAGCACATTTAATAAACCTAGTTTTTTTTTTAAATATCAAAGGCAATTAAAGTATATCCATATTACGTCAGTACTTAAAGACAGAAAGGTGCACCATGTCAAATGGTCCGCCATATTGGATTTACATGAAGAAATTTTAATATTTTCGTATTTTCAATGGCAAACCATTTCTTATATATCATTAATATGGACAAAATTCAACTAGATTGCCATCTTGTGTCGCCTGCCTTGTGATTCTATAAAAATTCAAATCAAACTCGAATTCACTCAGGTGTACGAATCCACTTCAAAAAGCGACATCCGCTCAATCTTGAATTGGTTATTACAAATTTAATATATAATAGGTTATCTTATTAGCATAAGATAAGTAAGTTTCGAAATGACATAAAATATCTGAGACATGTATAATTAATCAATTTTGTTTTGAATTTTTATACAGAAAAATGGAATCTGATGTGAATTCAGACACATGAGTGAATTCGTATTCGGGTTCGGATTTTCACAGAATCGCTCTGCTGCCGTATTAGATTTAGAATGATGTTATATTACGACGTCACATCCTCGATATTCATTTCCTTAACTGTTTAGTACCATTCCAATGCACAGGCATGCCTCACACAATATTCAGGGTTGAAAAGCTTAAAAATGAAAGATTAGAATATTGCCCAGATGATTTTCGAAGGTATAATATATAAAAAAATGATTCTTTTATCTCTTTTAACTACTACATATGGTCTCAGATCTGGGTACGGTCATAGTATCATATACTTGATAAAACGAGAGCTTTACATATCTTCGAATATAAGCGATGTATGTAAGGCTTTGAAATATTCGATTTATTTACATTCCAGGTTCTCAATTGCTATTTACGAAAAATTTTACAAATAATTTTCAAAACCCAAGGAACTAAGTATTTTATTCTTAAGCGTACAAAAATGTATTACAGTATAAAGCAACATAGACATTTTATTTAAACGTATTTATTTCGAAACGAGAAGAAAAACATTGCAATTATTTTCATTTTTTAGTTGCAACGTCAAAAAGTATTTCGGCATAACGTTATTTGAGTCATAAAGTATGAACATTATTAGTAACCACTGAGTAAAAGTGTTAACAGCACTATTGTATACCTATAGTTCAATGTTAAAAGAAAAAAAATGCAATACATAACAAATATTCGTTCCTATTTATAAGAACTTTATATTTATTTCAAAGGACGTTGACCTGTGAAAATTGGCGGGAGATGATAGCTCACGCATGCGGAACGAAAATGTAGTTTCAAGGTCACTTTACAAGTGATTTGTTGTAAAAACAATGATCGAAGCTTTTGGATTTATGATCTTTTCTAAATATATGAACATGATGAAATTTCTATTTTCAATTTTGAAATCATGACTTTCTGGGGATAGGTTAAAAAAATAATAAGTTACTAATTATTAGAATGGTAAGTGATTTTATAAAAACGAAACTCAAATTGTAAAAACGATACATACTTCAAAATGAAAATTCGCTTATTCCAAATACCTAATAACCTACTTGTAATACCTAATTATGTCCTAATTACAAAACGATGCCGTGAGACAGTAATTAGTCGTTTGAAGCAAAAGGTAGTTAATATTAATAGAAAAATATTGTAATATCTTTGCAAAAAATATTTATGGCATCCCAAATGGCATCCTGTCTGTTCCCCAAAAACCTTAGTTTAAGATAGTTTTAAGTTATTTGTTGTAAATTGTTTTAGCTTTTTGGTGATATCTATCAAAATTCTATATTTTATGGTACTATGGTAGGGTACACACGTACGTATTATTCATCCGTTATTATTATCTTTTGCATATCTCACAGAGAAACATCATTTTTCTTTATGACTGATATGTCTTTTTCTTTTATTGTTGGTTTATCTGCGCATTTCGCACAATTCTGCCAATGTCAAGTATATAATTAAATTTCTACATGTAAAATGAAGTTAATGAAAGATGGCAATGTTCTTAATGGCTACTTTGAGTCTGTAATTCTTTGTTTACTCTTTTAGTTTTTGCAATGACTTTGACCTCTGTAATTTATGACCTAATCATCTTAGTACTAGGACTTAGTATACCTTAACTCTATCATAATGTATTTTGCCAATGACTCACTCCTCTATAATTAGAATCACCATATTTTTATTATTCTTTTCGACCTAGAATTATCTACCAATTTATTTATTTTTTCTACCGAGAAAGTCCACATCTTTTGTTTTCAAAATTCAAAATTATTGTATTATCAGGTTTGGCTTGACCGGCTATAAAATACGTGTCAGCCGGACATTTGGGGTTAGTCATCAAGATTATACTTCAAGAATAAACTATACAAAGAGTATTTAAAACTTCGAAGAAACTTCTAGTAATAAAAGCCAATGGCGAACAGTGGTAAAGACCGTCGTGTATCGTACAGTCTCCGAAACAGTACAAATGGCGGACATTTGTACTGTGTGCAAAAAAGTTTAAAAAAGAAATGAATATTTGAAACAATTAATTTTATAAAGTATCATGTAAATATCTTACCTTAAAATTACGACCATTACAACGAGCTAAATGATCTAGTTCTTGAAACTAGTTCATATCATTCAACAAAACCTAATTCTCTATTTACCTTATGTGCCGAAATAGATTGAGTATCATTAAATACCAATAGTACAACTTTGTATTTTTTTTTCTTCCAAGTTTATTTGTAAGAGGAAAGAAAACATTTAGAGAACAGCATATTTGTAATGCTAGAAGTAATTTAGGATATTTCTAGACATCTAAAACATCACCAGCCGGTTGATATCTCCAATGTTGGGGTTTAGCCTCCTTTATGGATGAAATCGAATAGGAAGAATGGTCCATGGACCATTCTTTCATTAATAGGTCATGACTTATCACTTATCATGACTTATCATTATTTTTTTATGTCCCCCATAGCAAGTGCTCAGGCCTTCTTTATGAATGGTTAAGGAGGATGAGCCATGATTCCAAACGACTGCAAATACAGCCGGAACTAACAGTTTAACGTATTTTCCGAAGCATAGAATAGCTTGAAATAATAATTTTTGGCCACTCATCCCATGACCGACCCTTCCGAAAGTTGCTTAACGACAACGATTGCGGGCCGCAGCGTTTATCCACTACGCCACCGACCTACTATTGTTAACTCAAAGCAATTGAACTAATGTAATAACAGCACAATACTTCTGCCTAGTTCACAATCATGCAGCAGTGATGCCAAAATTGGAATTTTACCTATTCTTAAGAGAAAAATTTAAATTTCTGTTCTAGCATCCGGACCGGCCTTCGTGACATTTGCTTAGCCTCCATATTTCAAAATAATATTTAGTTAATTATGGTCTTAAATTTTTATTTAGGTAATCGTTTTAAATAATAATACAGCAAAAAGTAACTTCTTCAGAATTTTCTTGGAACATAATTAGACTTCTTTTAATGTCAAAAACACGTAGTATGCCATAAACTTACTTTGCTTAATTAAAACAATATTTCTCGTCAGAGAATGATCGTAGTGTTAATTAAAAAAAAAACAAATAAAATAAAATTAGCTACAGATTAAAAAGTGATGTTCAAGTACTATCTTCAGGGAACACTTTTTAATAAACGTTAGGAACAGGTAGTGTTGTTCAGATATCGATATCGATTAAAATAATCATCAATATATTATTCTTCCTACCTCCAAGATTAATTTATGGTGGAAATGAAGAATGGGTGGTGGTCGTGGTTTGATATCTTTCAAAAATGAGATTCTATATAATTTTGAAAATAGTTTTCATGATATTTGTACATTGCTTAATCCACTTTACATTGTCTATATCGACCTCTGCAATTTGATGATAAACCTCCAAAGTGTTAATATAAGCGAAACGAATGACTGGCGGTTTGGGAGATGTGGGGTATAGATCCCCAATTTGGAGTAGGCATAACTTACTTTAGAAGCTCAAAATGTTAGTTAAGTTGTTTGAGACTGCTAATTTTATTATAAATTACTTAAAATTTACTTTTTATAGTTTACTATTAATATTACATAAAATTTTTAATTATTGTAATATTTTTTTTAAATTTTACAAGATGTCGATAATTTTACAACACTAAACAGAGCTTTTTCATTCTCGACTTAAATAAAAAAGGGAATAGCCTTACAAAAAATTCAGTTGAGACTTTTTGGAGCCCAATAATGTAATTAACTAAGGTACTGTCGGAGACAAAAGTGCTAGCTTTACGTGCCTTGTATTTTAATGAATGCTTGACGGCGAAGTGAAGTGATTTTAACGCAAAACGATGGTAGCGGATTCATTAGAAGAAAACTACATATATTTGTATATCTACATATATTTGATATTATAAAAAATATATATATTTGTTTGTTTATATATATTTATTTATTTTAAAAACTCTTGCGCCTACATCAAACGCGGCTGATATAAGTTTAAACGCGGCTGAAGTCGCGGAAAAACAGCAAGTTTTCTATAAACTATAAATATAACTATTTAGTTTTGATTCAGCGATTTTAGTAATTGGATATTGAACGCGCTTAGTGACTAAATATTACATCGAATTTAAAATAAAGTAGCATATTTAAATTGGTTCTCAAAATCAAACTGGCTATCGTTACATACTTTGAAAAAACTGATGTAATAATCAGAATCTAATGTAATAAAAGAACATAAATTAATTTCGAAAATTAGTAAATAATCTGTTATATATTTTTAGCTCTTCGTTGACATCATTGTGCTTTGTCCTGCTCAAAGACATTAAAAATATATACTTGAGAGTAGGACAAGCGACAATAATTATTTATATTAATTTTAGCGTTAATTCTTTATGGTTTGTACGTTTTGGTTTTACAGGCTTATAATTTTTGTTTGTTTTAGGAGATTACTCACTAGACATAAGAGATGTAACTCTAGAAGATGACGCCAAATATCAATGTCAAGTTAGTTCTGGATTGAATGGTGAGTATAGTAACGCATAACTATTTAAGTGCTTTTAAAAAATGTATATATCTTTACTTCCACGCGTCCTGAAAAATGAATTTATGTATATGATTAGATTTGATCCCTATTCATTTCATAATATAAAATGAAAAAAATTCACGTCAGTATCGAAATGACATTTATTTTATTTGTAGGTGAACCTGCTATCCGCTCCCGCTATGCTCAGCTTACAGTGTTAGTAGCACCAGAACCACCTCGGATCATTCAAGGTGCATTCATTGACGCCACTGAGGACCAGCCTATTGAGATAGAATGCGTCTCTGTTGGAGGGAAACCAGCTGCAGAGGTAAGAAAGAAATCCATAAAGACACACTAAATGTTGAAAGATTTGTAGAAAATTGTGTTCACGTACATAGTTGATCGACGTCTGGCTGTCTAATTAAATGACGCTATTTTAAAGGGTCAGCAGTTCGATTGTATGGAATTTTTAACTAGTTAACTGCGACATATGACTTTCAAGCTGAAAATAAACTAGTTTAAATATCAGTGGTAGGAAAAGGTCATGGTTACGAAACAAATATGTACTTTAGTTAGAAGTAAGATACCAATTAAAATCTACTTATAAGATAGAAAGTAATATATTTTTAATTTCATTATTAACTGAAGAATGTTAGATTTAAGTTTTAATACTAATAATATAAAGAGAAAAGCTTAGAATGTCTGTTGGTTTTTTAAATCGAATTTTCTCTGAAACTACTTGGCCGGTTTTTATTTTTTTTATTTTTTACTTATGGAAAGCTATATGATACACGGGTAATATAGGCTATAATTTACGCGGGAAAATAGTTGGTATTCCATTGTTTTATGGCACTTTGATAATCTCATCACAGTTTTTTGTAGATCAGACGACAAACTGACAATGAAATTTATAACAAGACTGAAATATTTTGAAAAGTAGAAATTACAAGAGATCTTACACATACTGACAATGAAACAATACGTCTTAGAAAATAGATATAATAAAAGGACGGCTCCAAACTTCCAGTTTTGGTCGAAAACAATCAGACTTTCTGTTTTATTCAACAGAGATATTTTATGTTGTGTCTGATTTATACCCGTTTCCGGATCATACAACAGATTGGATATTTTACATTTTAAATAAATAACCGAACGGATGTGAGATTTTTATCGTTTCCATTTAAACATGGATTTTTTTTGTAATAATAATTAATCTATCAACCAAGTACGTATATTGTAATAGAATATTACAATATTCTGTATAAATCTCAACTGTTAATAATCTAGAAGAAACACTTTGAAAATTCCTCGAACCCATCATATTATGATCTCCGGCCAACTGATCTTTCAATTTTGCTTTCAGAGATTAGTTTAGACCTTAATAAGACTTTTATTCTTAAGTGCTGTTTACTTAACTAATAAGAAATGCTTTACATCTTTAACTGCCTTATATAGTATTTCCAAGATTTATCATTGAATTGAATATCAACATTGAATTTTTATCAAAATAGTACTATTAACACATCGTAACAAGGTAACCAATTTTTACGGTTGGAGCTAAGGTATCTGGTAGTCATCTATAACCATCAAAACCCATATTGATACAAACGATGTCAATTTTTTTATGAAACTCTCAATTCTGCAGTATCAGCGAAACCTCAAAAGCACTTAACACGTTTAAAATAAAAATCGAGGCATATAAAATTCAAAGCAAAACCTTTCCTATACTTGCTCAAGTTCCGGTAAAAAGGCCTACCCAAAAGGTTTCTAACAACGTGTCGTAAGCATGTCAGCTGCTCTCTGGCTTACAGACTCCTGAGACTTATCCGCCATCAACGTTACTAGAGATCCTAATACAGCATCTACCCTAAGGGACATTCACTCCGACCTTTCGGTATGAATTAGCTGAGGCTTTGGCACTTTCACTGTCAAGAGACAGGTGTTTATATAGTTGGACATATGGCTTCGCAATATTCTTAATATTAACTTTTGTTGTAGATAACCTGGGTAGATGGTAATCAAGCTGTGATAAAAAATAAAGATGATAAGAAAATAGAGCTTATGCCTGATGGTCAGAGGTTCCAAACAAGGTAAGAACATAATTAAGCATATGATTACTACTTTAGTTTAGATCACCCATAATTATTCTTTCCCATATTTTGTTTTATTTTAAGTAACATTATGGAATTTATTTTAATTAACAGTATGAAGTATTAAGTATTCGACATATGACCACTATTACTGTCAACAGGTCAATACTGCGGTTAACACCTACCAAGGATGATCACAACCGTACTATAACCTGTCAAGCGCAAAATACCGCAGATAGAGCATATAGAATGGCCACAGTATATATTGAGGTGAGTTTCTTAAATAGCAGGACTAATTTATTTGGACTAACTAAATCATCATCCTATATCGATCAGTATATTTTCATCATTGAAGAGTTTAGAGTAAGGCTACATTTCTAATAATACTGCTCTTTGTTTTTTCATGCTCTTGAAGTTGAGAATATTACATTGGAGTTCAATACCTATTCGAATATAAAACGTGAAAAATTTAATTATAATTTTCTACGCAGGTCAAATACGCTCCAAAGGTGGAGGTTAAAATCAAATCAGGAATAGAGGATGGTAAAATCAGAGAAGGTACGGAAGTCAGGTTTCTCTGTGAGGTAGACGCGAATCCTCCGCCACAGGTGTACAGGTGGTACATCAACGACAATCCAGTAATAGGAGACTACTCAGAGGAAATGGTGAGTAGAAATTTTACAATGTATACTGATGAAAAAAGTCTTTTAATGGAAGAAGGATTTCCTTCTTATAGTAGTAGGGTAATCGAATGGGTAATCAAATTTGTTCGAATCAAAGAGTGAGCATCAACCGCTAAAATATAAGTAGAGAATCTAATGTCTACAAATTCTCGAAGAGCAATTCACGTTATTATGTTCTATATGAGTAAATTTTATATGCTGTTAATATATTATTTAATAAATCACTTGATAACCCATTATATTTAAACCACTGAAGATTGTAAAGGCAATGGACAAAAGTTTACAAAAAAAAAAATATCATAAATAAAATAAATTCATAATATAAAGTTATAATTTAAAGGAACGCTGATTATAATATTAATTTAGGCCAAAAATAGACTAATGATGAAGCCTAGGGTTTAGGATAGAAAGATAAGGCCAAATCGTAAATTTATAAAATAATTTACTGTATAACGCGCAATAATGTCTTGTTTGCTTGTCAGCTTTATGTGCCTCCTTACACCAAGCAAAATTGCTGTTATACTGCATTCACTACTTTGCCAGTCTGCTGCATGCATAAGAAATTAATGAACTAAGCATCTATATACATTTTGAATAGAGGATGAAAAGGCCGATCGTCTTCTTTTCTTAATACTTTAAATCACACATCGGAATTGTTTTGTTTGAATCTAACGAATTATGTTATAAAATATTCAATCTGTCTCTACTTTTCGGTATATGATACAAGAAGGTTTTACATGTTATCTTACAACTTATCCTTAAGAAAAGTAGTATAAAAGTTTACGGAAATATAAAATATTAATTCTAATATTCAGGCGAAAACTTCAACACGGCGATTCCACATTCAGACATTGTAGCAAAAACATTTCGCGAATAATTACCAAACGGGCTGAACACTCAAAAACACAATTGTCTCAACGACGAACGTAGTGAATGTTTGAACCGTATAAAACTCAAAACCCCGGAGCTTATTAAAAACTGCAACAAACGTTACAATGCGAGTTGGGATTAAGCATAAAAATAATGTTTTCGTTGGAAAAGCCATAACAATTCATCTTGCAGTCTCCCTCGAATAAAAACAAATGTATTACCGTGGGTTAAGTATGCTTGTTGCGCGTACATATAAACTAGTGAATTTTTCAGTGAGCGAATAGCATGCACGGGTGAATCGTACTGTGAACATACACAACCTACTTCGCGTTTATCGTTGCACTTTGATTTAACGAAGCGGTGCACATGAATATAATTATTTGTTAAAGCGATAATTTTTGCTCCAATACGGCCATCTGTTTGGTCAGGATAAGCTGTTATTTATTTTCAGTGGAGTACCATTTATTTTGTGTACTGTATGTATTTAAATGTACTATAACAAATACAGAATTCTTTATATAATTTGTATAGTATATTACTATTTGTAATGTTACCAAGGAAAAATGTTGAGGGATGGGAAAATATCGCGTGTAGGTTCGTAGAAAGAAATTAGTATAGTTTATTTCTTTGAAATATTTCTAATAAGTCTTAATAAACAATTTAGTTGGTTTTTTCAAGTTTCTATTATAACATTAACTTATTTCACGTCACTGTTATTTTAATTTAAGAAATAAAATGCTTTATCTACTTCTGGCCTTATTAAATCGGTTATAACGATTGTCAGTGAGTATACCATAGCCTGCGTGGTAATTATATAATTTTGAATTCTCAAAACAAACTAATTAGTTAGTTGGCTAATTAGTTGAAGCGAAATTTTTAGCGATATTGAGTTATAGGCATATTTGGTAACAGCAAAATTCTTCCATTCCAAAAATGTATATAACTAAAGATGTAGCTGCAATCGTTTCGAAGGTAATAGAAGGAGGTAGTTATATATACACGATGATAGGGGTACAAGCTTGTTAGTGTTGCTACTCAGGTTTAAAAAAATCAAATTCTCTATATTCAAGTCGACTCCATCCATAAGGTAGGTCTGAGCCCCAGCTGTGGGGATATTAATAGACAAATAACTATGATGATGAATGAACAATTCTTTGTTGATATATCGATAATTTTAGGTTGGGATGAACAATTATAATATAGTATTTCTCTTCTAGATAATCTTCAACGTGACTCGCAAGCATCACGAGGCGGTGGTCAAGTGTGAAGTCAGCAATAAAATTGGGAAACGGGACAAAACTGTCAAATTAGATGTTACTTGTAAGTATCATATACTGGTTTTCCGCCAGCGCTCCGTCCTCGATATAAGTCTTTCTCTTGAATCACTCTGTATAAGGTGAAAACCGCATTGAAAACCGTTGTGCAGCTTAAAAGATATCAGCATATAGACGACAGCGACTTTGTTTTATGCTATTAACGATTAGTACAATATAAATAAATATTAGACATTATCATATACATTGTGTAGATTCCAATACGTAACTACAGCTCCCGTATTATGGATTATTAGAGACAACGAAGATATCATAACATCCAGTCCCGTGATAATATAGGAAGAAAAGTTTCATTTCTACATTGAACCATCCAGGAATCGAGCCCGTGACCTCGGATATGGCGACATCTTGAAACCGGCGATCAATCCACTAGGCTATGGAAGTCTACTTATATATATATATATATAACTATTTATACGTAAACTAGCTTTTGCCCGCTTTTGGTATTTTTTGGGTATATTTGGTAGTTTTTGGTATTCTCATACCATGCACTCAGGATAATTTTTTTGGCTATGAAGACTGCCAATTGCACCTTTAATAGGTGTTCCTTGTTACTATACGCTTTCTTAACCATCGCTGCCTTCATTATTTTTATTAGAAAACAATAATATTATTACTACAGTGCTTATAAATACAAAAGTTATTGAATCCATGTAAAAAAGTATTAAATCATATTAAATACATACACATGAAATAGTATTTAGAAAATATTCAAGATGTGTTTTTTCTTTTCTCAAAAAACATCGTAGTAAAATCCAAACTACTCATCCAATTGATTTGGTGTAAAAGGCAAATTTTATTTGTATTAAATTTCTTCGTTGTAAGCGTCTAAAGACGAATAAATCAATAAAATACACATTTTACGACTTTTTTTATTTTTGGGAAAAAAATCTTAGCACATAGATATATCCCATTGCGGACATTTTATTATAGATAATTTAAAGCTTTATAACAATTTTTTAGAAAGCATTCGTATAACTCTTACTGTTTAGGTAACGTTCACAAAAGTCGGCTCCCTTGAAAGTACTTCTATCCCTAGGGAACTTTTAGCGGGATAAAAAGTAGCCTATTTGTTAATCCAGACAAAAAATTGCGTATATACCAAGTTTTATCAAAATCCGTTCAGTAGTTTTTGTGTGAAGAAGTACAAACACACATATCCAAACCTACAAACTTTCGCCTTTATTTGTTGGATAACTAGTTTAACATTACTTATTAATATTTTCTTTTTTATCGAAATTTTTTAAGATTCTTTTATTTTTTTAGTAAGATTCTTAAATATCATAAGACATGTATTTCAATTTCATTTTATCCTCCTTATATAATTTTACAGTCCTAAATTTTATTTATTCAGTACCTGAATAGATATTTCCGATTCAGGAAATTAATAATTAACTATACAAAGCATATTCTATACGAGCATCATATGTATTCATACCTCTGTTGTATTCCCCCAAAATCAAAGCTAATACTACTGGGTAATAACGCTTTGGAATTAATCGAACCTCTAAAGATTCGCAGCGCCATTACGTAAAAATCCGACCCGAATTCGAATTCACTTTGAAAGCGAAACTTATATTAATGTAGAAATTCCTTACATTCCATTTTTTTTTACAAAACAAGATTGATTAATTTATACGTGTCACAAATATTATATCTCTATGTCTTTTCGAATTCACTTTTGCTACGAAATGTTAATACCAAAGGTTTAGCGGATTTTTACGGAATCACCTTCTTGTCGGTTTGCATTGATCAGTTACGTTTTATACACAGGATAATCCATCATAATGAAAACGAAATTAAGGATCTTATTACAAAGAAATTATATTCATAGTAGATATTATTATTTGTATTAACTTGTACTTGTAGATTAATTAATGTAATACATCACATTAGGCAAGCGAATTAGGCATTTGAATATTGAAGAGCTCGATGTTGCAGTGATTAGCGCTGTCGGTCTGCGAAACGGTTGCAAAGCAACTTCTCAATGGCCAGTGATACGATGGGTTACCAAAATTTTATTATCTTGAGATACGCTGTCCTTTGGTAGGCACGTTAAGCCGTTTATTTGTAGTCGTTAATACTCACCAATCCACACTGAGTCGTGGCCTATTCTTCGTATTCGATTTGAATCGATGACATAGGGCACATACATACATAAACATAGGGCACGACATAGGGAAGGCGTGAGCCCCAGCATTGGGGATATTAATAAAATGAGGCATGTGAAATAAAATTCATTTTTATACATAGAAACATTAACTTATATTAAACTGATAACGCAATTAAAAAAACATTAAATAACGGCAACAATTTTACATTTAATGATATAATCTAGTTTTCTAGTCCAGTAGTTTAATCAATTTCAATAATTTCCAAGCTATATAGACCTCTTCAAATATGAGTCTCGTAAATTTGAAAATATAATCAGGAACTTCCAATTTATACGATGTCGAAAACTGGAATTAGATTTCAAGAAGGGAGAAGTTAGGTTTTCAGAATATTATTTGGATCTATCTTGTTGGGGCTTCTTGAATAAATTTTGATTCATTTGTAATTCCTTTCGTAAATTTTGAAAGGTGCCTAAAAAAAGTATCAATTTCAGCAGATAAAAACTAACAAATTATAAAGAGAGATATCAGTTTGTTTGTTTGCATTAAATAGGCTCCAAAACTTATAGACTGATTTCAAAATTTTTCACTTATGGGAAGCTACATTATTTTGCGAGTGTCTATAATTTATATATTTTTGTTAACCTGTAATATTTCTGTGATGTTTTATCACTATGTACAGTATAAAACAAAGTAGCTTTCCGTCTGTCTGTCCCTGTGTATGATTAAAAACTACGCAAAAGATTTTGATGCGGGTTTTTTTATAGATAAGGTGATTCATAAAGAAGATTTTTATCAAGAATACAGAACTACGCGGGCGAACCTTCTGGCAGAATATGCTATAATTAAGGAAATCAATAAGTATATCTCTAAAGTTCAAGCAAATAAAAAAATAAATAAAAAATAAATAAATCCATTTTCTCCTACTTGTAAATTATATATTATCTAGTAAAATAACCACAATTTTATATTTTATTAAACTTATATAGTAATACATAATAATACAAAACAAGGACAAAAATATTACAAAACGTTTGGTCAAACCAATTCTTAGTACCCTCAACTTAACATATGTAAAAGGAACTAATATATAATTTCTTTTAACTATTCATAAAATGAAAACAGGGTCGGCCGTCTCTTTCTCATTTACAATTAAGTCTATCATTAATAGCTCTATAACATACTATTATACTCGTATTACCGTGAAAATTAATTACTAGGTCTGTGAAGTTAGTTGAAGAGCTATAAATAAATATTAGTTAATGAAATTTCAGCTAAGATTAACATCGAAATTCTTCTAGATTGGCTATTTCTCTAACCCAAACAGATCCCCCAGCATTTCGAACGAAACCACAAAATGTGGAAGCAGAAAAAGGTACGACTGCGACTCTCACGTGTGACGTAGATGGGCAGCCGTCTCCAAAGATCAGATGGTTATTCCATGAACCAGGTCGCATCGAGGTAAGTGACTACCATGGTAACCTGTTATTCTATTTGCAAAGTATGTTGGAATACTAATGCCGTGGCTCTAGTTTGGAAATATCGTGTACGATTTTGTGCCTAGATTTGGTTTGCCTTGACGCATCAACTTCCACGTATTACCAGCCAAGATCCATTTAAATAAGAGGCGAATCAAGAAAGTTACATTGTACATCAACAAATAGTTTTCTTTAATGTCGTAGTGTAAAGTTATGTCAAAATGTTCGCAATATGGAAATTTTTAATCCGAGTAAATTCGGAAATCAGTACTCTTATTGTTACAAAGCTTACGTTTTATCACATACTTGTTTTTATTTCTTTGCATTTAACTGCGTTCTTACTTATTTATTGTTGTTGTCAAGTGCGTTAAGTGCCAAAGATGCACCAGATACTATATTATCAGTTAAAGTGTAATGAGTGTGTAGCCTGCAATTAATTTCCTACTAAAAAAATAGTGGTCATAAATTCATTCTAATTTTAAATGATACATTTGTTAAATTCTAAAAGAATTTAATTTATTCGTTTTATTTGAACGTTTCATACTTCCAGCAGGTTAGGGCGAAAACTTCAACCTATAAAGTCTACGTCACTGAGAGTTCAGCTGGTCGTTACATCTGCAAAGCTTCTGTAGAAGGATTCCCCGAAATCGAGAGTGAAGCAACCGTATTTATTAAAAGTAAGCTAGTTGTATACAGAGTAATCTAATCAAAAGCATCTTATTACCAAGAAAGGTTTCTAGAAGCAGCCTTTACCAAATATTCTAAGATATTTTTGTGAATCTTATTATATATTTATCGCTTTAGAAGTCTTCATTAGACAGTTAATATTACAGTTGTTGACTTTGACATCCTTTATGTTTGCTTTTAGTTGTATATTTATTATTGCTTTTTATTTATGAAGACTACTTGACTACGTTATTAGTATTTGTTTTTATTAGTCTGTAAATCGCATATACTGCATTATTCAATCTAAAACATTATGAACTGATAACTTTAGCCTTTAATTCCATCATAATATAGAGTATATTTTCAGGTGCACCAAAGATTCTTTCCAATAGAACACAATTTGGATCAGAGGGAGAAAGCGCTAAAGTGGAATGCTTTGCTCTCTCTGTTCCCAAGCCTGATGATATAAGATGGTATTTTGAAGGACGGGAAATCAGTGCCATACACGACCCGGTAAAATTTAATTTCAATCAATCTTTTGTTTAAAATAAAATTATCAATAGTATAATAATTTTTTTTTTCCTAGGACGTTGCTACTCTAGAAGAGAGCTTACCCGATGGTACAATCAAATCCACCTTGGTAATAAGGGCCAGCCAGTCCAAGCATTACGGAACTTATAGTTGCAGCGTTACTAACGAATATGGGAATGATAATGCTGCAATTACCTTGAAGCCTTTAAGTGAGTTGTGTGTTCAATTACAATAACCGTTGTTGATTTAATGTATTTTATAGCTATTTATATAATGGCTGAGGTGAAATTTTATTAGGCGCCAGCTGCACAAACGTCAATTAAAATAATTAAAAGCGACATTACCCATACAAACTCGACGTTCCTTAAAGCTAAATGGATGTTTGTGCAATTTACCGTTAAAGTTTCAAAGTGCTATAGTTGGATAAATGATGTTTTAGCTAATAATTTTGATTGAAACCTTAATCATAAGCCTTTATATTATTAAAAGTATGCTGTAAAAGCTCTACTGCTCTATACGAAAATAGTGTTTGTAACGATAAATTTAATGTTTTTAATCCTTGAAAATTATTATATCAAACGCGAAAATTTATTACTCGTATTAAATAGTTAAATTCGCCAAAATTACTACTTCGGCCCCCATAACCCATAGATAGAATCAAAAAGATTATTCTTGAAATTTAATACATTCAACAGTTTAGCAACAAAACACTCTTTTTCACAGAAACCCTTCCCCTCTTCATCATATTGATTGGTGTAACATCAGGCATCATCATTTTCTCAGCCTTCATCGTTCTAGTTGTGTTATGCCATAGAAAAAGAAGGCAGAAGAATAGGAAAGTGAATGAGAAACCTGACGTGACTGTCACATCGGGGGATATATATAAAGAGAGCGATAGAAGTTCGAATATCAGCGATCTGAAACCGCAATTGCATCAGAGCGATGGAAGTTATGAATTGGTATGTGTGAAATATCAATTTATTTCTATACTAGCTGTTTTCCAGCGACTTCAGCCTTATGAATTTTAGTCTATATCACACGCGTACGATGTAACTTCTTGTAGATGAATAAATTTTCATGAACGGATCAGTATTTTCAAAGATTACCACATACAAACAAAACAAATAGAGTTAGAAACTTACCTCTTAATAATATTAGTAAGTTTTATAAATTACTCAAACTAAACTACGTCTTATTATTTTGTTCTTCGAAGTTTGAAGAGCTTTTTTATTACATTGAGTTGGTATTTTTTAATTACTTTTCTATAAATAGTTAAAATTAATCTATAAATAGGCCGGTTGAGTTTCTATCATTAAAAGGCATTAAGAGCAAGTACTATTTGAAATATTAAACAAAAAAGTCACTTTATTAATGGAATTTAGTAGGCATGTGTAAATGAAATAGTTAGACAAAATATAAACTGTTCTAATTTTTATCTGTTATTTTTCAATTAAGTTATGGAAGGGTTTTTTAAAACAGTTTATCGTAAATTTCTAATATTTGCAAATTATTTCACTTGGTGTTATGATACTTTTCTATTTTAAATATAAATTTAAGAATTGTTGTAACATAATAAGATTTTTTTTTTACTGTTTTTTAATGAAATTCTTGGGAAACCTTCTTCGATATAATTTAGCGTCAAATATTCCAAAGGTATAAAAAAACAAAAGGAGTGAATTTGAGTTAGATAAAAAGTAAAAAGCTTTTCTATTTTAGAATTAATAGGTATATATTAGACAACATCATATACCTAGCTGAGTATAGCAAAAAGCCCCTGTATTGTGTAGTATCTGAGACAACGAAGGCACCACAACACTCAGACTTTAGGCTAACATAGAAAAGTCCATATTATACATTGACCCGACTGAAAATCGAACCCAGGACGAAAGAGATGGCGACACTCTGAAACCGGTGTGCGAACCACTCGGCTATGGAGGTTGTCGAAGAATCAGTATATTACGGAATATTGAAATTTTAAGATAAAACCTTGTTTGTCGTTATTACGCATTCGTTTCGTGCAATAATGGAATCTTTCCAATTCATTGGTAACGAGCTGCGAGTTATCTAATCGGCATTCAATATCTGAGCTATTTTGAACATAGTTTCATCATTACAGAATTTGTCGCATTAATATTGGATAGAATCCGTTCAATGTTTCATGCTGATTTAGTTTGTATAATTCTGAGATTCCCTAGTTTGTATAATTCTACCCTTCAATCCGCATTGGGCCAGCGTGGAGGGTCATGGCCCATCCTCCTTAACCATCCATAAGGAAGGCCTGAGCCCCTGCAGTGGGGACGTAAAAGGGCTGGTGATGTGAATTCTGAGATTATTGATTTATTTACCTAACGGTGTCTTTACATTCTCTAATCCATTGGCCACAAAACTTTATACTTTTGCCGTCTTACTGCAAAAAGTGGTAGTTTAATTATTAAAGTTTTAATAAAAGTACAATTAGCCATTCGCCGGTAGTCTTTTTTCTATATTATAAGGATTTCCGTTATGCATTTGGTAAATAGGCTTCAATATGTGACTGATTATAAAAAAATATATATATTAATTACTGTAATAGTTTATAGGACGATCCATGTTTGGTTACCTTTTTAAATTGAAAGCAGAATCTAGCCTTTAGTTAAAAAGTTATCTATAAGCACGGGTAATTTTCAGGTTTTCCATTGGGTTCCCATTGGGTACGAAATTTACTAAGATTTCGCTGTCTGTCACCAGGCTGTATGTTATGAAACGCAAAAGTTAAGCAGTTAAAATTTTCAGAAATAACTTATATCTGTTCCCACTTCAACAAAAAATAAATATTTAAGGGGCCTCCCATAAAAAAAACGTGTTCTTTTTTGCTTGTTTTTGTTAACGACAACAGGTAGACGCTTGAAATATTTTCAGAATATGTATTTAAATAGTAACTCTAAAAATAAATACTTAAATCAAAATTAAACAAATATTAAAGGGGATCCCATGCAGCAATCGTGATTTTTGGCTCGTTTCCAGTACGGAACTCTTCGTGCGCGAGTCCGACTCGTAGTAGGCAGGTTTTTCTTTTTTTATTTTCTTCTTCATGAGTTAAATGTTTGTTGGAAATTGCCAGCATTAATACTTATTGCATCGAAATTTTGAATAGTCCAAGTCATTCCTCTACAGCATACAACATAACTATATATAAAAAATGTGTCTTCCATTTAGGACTATACGAGTTCCGACAGATCGGACATAAAGGTGTCAACTGGGCTTCCGCTCGCCGGTCCGGTGCCACTGCCGGGCATCCGGCACGACGAGACGCTCATGCAGTTCCGGTACAGCAACGATTATTCCGACCCTACTTATGGGGATCCTTATTTTAAGGTCAGTATTAGAACGGTGGACGTCATGATACCTTAACGAGAAGTTGAAAATTCTTCTTCCATTAACATAAATATGGAACATTAAATTAAGAGGTTGCGCACCAGATCACTAACTTTCAACTAGTTTTGTACTAAGAACTAACGTCCAAATGCTCTTATGAAATTACATTTCTAATAGTTCCGTCATAGCCAAAAAGAAAGAAATTTTTGAAATTTTCTTGTTAAAAAAACATAATGCGTTAACCATTAAAATCTCAATTATCATACTCTTTAAAAAAAAATACATTAGGATTAAGTTATTAATATTTGACTACAAGTTAGTATAAAAATCTTTAAAAATCTATAAACACACGATTGAGTCAGTAAAATTTTTAAGCTTATTGATAAAAAAATTGGTATGATATTGAACAGATTTATTTAGCGAAAATCTTTCTTTTTCATATTCCATATTTGTTGGAGACTTAGATTACAAAATTTCTGTAATTAATCTAAGAAAGATAACAAGAAGCTCGTTTTTCTAAAATAGTTTTAACCTAGAGTAGCGGAAGTAATTTTGAAATCTGAGTGGGCGGCAAAATCTTTTTTAGGATCAAGAAGTTTTCAAAATAATTTTTATTTACCTCAAGATTCTTGACAGAAATAGATTTCATATAAACTAGACCTGAAATTGAACATATATTTATTATTCTTAACCAATCTTTGATTCAGGGAGTTTTGTGATATTTTGGTTCAGTTGTTAAGTTTATTTTGAACTAGCTGATTTCTTACCATCCAGTATGTATTAGAAGAAAAAAGTGTATTTTTATCCTCAGGAATTTTACAAGTATTAAAAAATGCCGAATCGATTGAAACATTCTCTAATTTTGCACGCAACACGTTTAGCAATTAGTTATAGCAATTTAATAAGAATAATATTTGTCTTATAACAATAATAAAGTTTCTAGGTAACTTTAGTCGCAATATTTAAGAAGATTGCATACTTAATTTTTTTGGCATCATTAGAGTTAGCTTTAACATTCTCAAATAGAAAGACTTCCATTTTTACAGTAGCTTCTGCAAATTCACTATGAATACATCATTGTATCTAAAATGTCAGTACAAACTGCATGTTTCCTCCCTTCTAAATAATGTATTTTTATTTTTAGAATCCCAGTGGGTATGTGTATGACTACCCCCAGGGGTATGTACCGCCCCCTAACTTAAGAGTACAGTCTCCAACACAGTTGGAAGTACCACAAAATAGGTGAGCGGATTGTCTGATAGTTTTAAGCTCTTTTATTGTTTTTGAAACGTGAACTTCTTTCTTCTGTAAATTATAAACTTATTAATACAGAAAAATAATAAATCTGTTGCACCCAGCCTACCAGTTGCACACACGTCCACCAAAAATACCATTTGTTTAATGCGAAAATAAAGATACAAATTAAGAACATTAATTGGAGCTTCAAGTCGTCATTAAACCTTAATGGATGTTTGTGAAACTGGTAGTCTTGGAAGTTAAAGAACAATTATAGTTAGGAGTAACTAACAGTAAATGAATTTTGACTTTTCGTTTTACGAAGCACACCATCGTCTTACTTTTTTTTCTATGACTGACTTGTTGATTTTGTCTCGTTTCCTTTTTATTGTATTTCGCATTGGTAATGGATAATTATACAAACAGGTCGCTGCAAGGTTCACTGACGCGTAGTATAGACACAGCGTCGACGTTACCCTTGTCAGCGATCATTGGATCTCAAAATAACTCTTTACAACGAACGAAGTCTCCAGACGAGACGGACGCTATAAATAATTTAGGGTTGCCAGTTGACGGCGAAAGTGAGTAAATAAGAGTTTTTTTATTTTTTATTTAAGAAACATCTTCGTTGCTGATTGTATGAGTAAACCCCTACATTTAGCATTTAGTATAGCAGCCTTCATCTGTAAACTGATCACGCAAATAACCGCACCATCGAGTTCGAATACGACGATTTGGTTGAAGAGTAAAACAAAAATGCAAATTGACTTTTCTCAACAGCACCACCCCTGCCAATTTACGCACAACCCACGACGAAGCCAAACAGTGGGGTGGACTTGAGATACTCAGCCACGTACGGGAATCCTTACTTGAGGAACAGTTCTCTAGGTAATGATAATTGCATTAGATTTTTTCTACACCTCTAAATCATGTCCAGAGATAATTTAATTATCATACTTTCAAATAAAAAGGTACAACATAGGCTTTTTTATCTATGTTAATAATATATAGTATACTTCCAACTTTGGTTAACTTCTATTTTCCTTAATAAAATTCAGTTTTAATTTTTATCCAATGTAGAAATATTAGCAGCCGTTTCATTATACTTACATCCAGTTGCACAAACGTCCATTAAAATTGACATTAATTTGAAGCGATATTTCCGATACAAATTTTCAAATTAAGAACATTCATTTGAGCTTAAAGTCGTCTTTGTCGTCATCGTCGAGACTTCAGTGGACGTTTGTGCGACTGACCATTAGTATATCCAAGATTTCATTGTAATTGTCATTTGTGGCAAAATAACGGAGTTCTTGTATAACATGTTACTTTGTAAACTACATTTGTTAGCGTTTTTAAAGTTCGTAAATTTCATAAACATCTGGTTGCACAATCGTTCATTACAAGAGTTAATTAAAACGAACTTTAGGCTTTCACGAGTGTTTGAAACTTTAAATTTGTGTAGGTAAAGTTGTTTTAAATTAATAACATTTTTAATGTACATTTGTGCAAATAGATAGCATAGCGAATGAAAAAGTAGTAGTATTATAATTCGTCCATGGGACAGGCGAAAGCGAATGAAAAAGAATATCAAAATTAACGGTCATTTATTTTTTTTAATAAAGGCTACGGACACCAAGTGCATACAGCCAAGCCTGCTGCTACACCAGCACCGCCACCGTACTCGGCCGTAAGGAGTTCCGTCGTCATGCCAACGGGTAATTTTTTTTTATTACAGCGTATTATTGTCTAATTATAGTAATTACTCCCAAAAAAGAAGATGGCTGGGTAAAAAAAAATCTATTTCAGTCGGATAATAAAAAAATAGTAGATACGTATTTTTCGCTTCAATTTAACAAGAAATGGCTCAGATAATAGGCATTTAAGTTGAGGAATGCGTGCTCACTACGTCAAAAATGTAGAAAGTCTATAAAGGTGTGACGTCATGAAATTTGAAGTCTATGTATCGCCGTAATTTATCGATTACGCAATAAATAGATAGGTATATTCAAATGGATTATTTAGGTATACGTTTGTTTGTGGGACTTCTCTAAGCGTCCTTCATCATCAGCAGCCCTTTTACGTCCCCACTGCAGGAGCTCAGGCTTTCCTTATGGATGGTTAAGGAGGATGGGCCATTACCTTCCACACTGGCCCAATGCGGATTGGAGGGTATTAACGACTGCAAATGCAGCCGGGACCAACGGCTTAACGTGCCTTCCGAAGCACAGAGTAGCTCGAGATAATAATTTTTTGGTCACCCATCCCGTGACCGACCCTTGCGAAAGTTGCTTATCGTGAGCCACCGAGCTACAAGCGTCCTTGTGTCGCCAAAACTAATTGCCAAAGTATTGCTAGATTACATTTGTATAGTAACCAGATGTCAGGTGTATTATTGAAAAATCTCTGTTAGACTGTAGTTCAGCAAAGCATACAAGAAAATTTAAAAGTCTATTAACAAAAAAAAAAGCTGTTTTCTATGATAATATAATAATAATGAAGTAAAAGCTCGTATGTATTTATTTCAACAACGATACTACAGTTCACTCGCTTTCATTTTCTTTTGTCTTTATTCTTTTTTGCGTGATTTCTCTGTGTCTCGTCGGATTCTATATTTAAGACTTCTGTCGCTCCATCTGTCCGTTCGACTGTCTTATAAATAAATATGTCTCAAATACATTTCCAAGAAACGCATGTTTGAATTTTATTGTATTGAAGTCCTTTGTGTGTTTTAAGATTGATTCTTACTCGTTTCTATTTTCACTTTTTTTTTTTAAACAATCTGTAATAAAATCAGACATTTATATTCGAACCTTCAATACGACGAAGAAATTTTAATTTTTTAAATGTATTTTTTTAAATTCTTCAATCAAAAGTCTAGTAGATGTTAGTTATAATTTAAATATCCTTGTTTTTTCTGGCTTTCGCGTTTTTGACGTCTTAATTTTTTCATACGTTTTTATGGCTTCTTATATAACATAATAAATCTGTTCGTCAAAGTTGTTTCTTGGCCTCCCCGGTGCCTATATTCTTTTATATTTGTTTTTTGGATTCCTCAGCTCCCATCTTCTTCCACATTTGTGACGTCATTATTTTATCCAATGTTATTTCCATATGGCCATAATCAACGGGCACACGTACCTAAAGCTCCCAACTTTTACACCGAGACTGGGGTGTCAATTCTATTGTGTCATTCTGTAAAGTAAAAAGTTCCAATTTAAATTTTGGTTTCTTTTACATTATTCCAAACTAAAACATGTAAATAAAGAAATTGTCGTAACTAACCTTTCGTATCGTTTTCATTCCTTAGATTCATATCACTTATTTTGCTCATATCGATAAACTTTTTAGTGTTTTCCATTTATATGCTTTACTTTCTTCATTCTATAACAATGGACCTTCAATTTTATATCTGTAACCATTAAAATTCTGTAATATAAACTTATCCAAACCTTTACGAACTTTCATCCTATGTTTTTGTCTACTTATACTAATGTGAACCCTTACCTGTACTTTTCATAGTTTTTCTTTATACATTTTACCAATTCTAATCATATTAAAATACTTATTTATGTATTATAACACAAATTATCGCTAATTTTAATTGTTTTGACAGAATTGACATCAAAGTTTTTCTTCGTTGCTATGGTTATATTTGATACTCTTCATGAAAATTGACTCATTGTTTGTCAGTTTTAGGCATTGAAACTCTGTAGTTTTTGAATTTTTAGGGTTCTAATTTGAAATCATTTACTTCTAAATTTGAGTTCGTCTTCAGGTATAAATAGCCTCGCTCAAATAGTTCTTGATCACTTCAACGGCAACAGTTGCCAAGTTAGCTTTTTGGAGCTCGTACAGAGCTAGCTAAATTATTAAAAGGCCTATTTCCCGGGGCCGACTGCCCCGGGAACTCTTCAAAGTTACGGTCTCAAAGTCACATGACATCTTTCTGGCTTTAACTAGACGACAACAAATCAATACTCCACTATAATCTCCTTCGCTACTTCACTCCTGGAGGCTGTCTGCGAGTATACACCTTAGGCCCGAGCTGCTGCTCAGTTCTGGGCTGCCGAAGAATCCCCTGTTCGACGCATCGAGACTACGCCTCGCTGATTTACGCTCTCGGCTCTTGGCTGCCGGAGATTCTCCTGTTCGACGCATCGAGACTACTCCTCACCGATTTACGTTCTCAGTTCTTGGCTGCCGAAGAACCTCCTGTTCGACGCATCGAGAGACTACGCCTCGCCGATTTTACGCTCGGGATCCACACGCCCCTCAAGACTGCTGAAGTACTCCATCAACGGAACTTCACCGCTGACCCACGCCCCTTCACCTACACTGACACTCTCACTCACACTTCTACACTTTTCACCTCACTAATCACCTCGTCCCTTTTATTTTATTTTTTTGTTTAATGTAAATAAATTATTAAATTTGATTTATCATCTTTTAGTTCATTTTATATCTTGTTTCATAACAAAATGTCTGTAATATAATAGGGTTGCTCCCTTCATCTAAGTAATTTCATATTTACAGAAATTTAAAGATATTTTGGCGGGATCAAAACTAAAATAAATATAGATAGTGGAACAGAATTACTAACACTTGCTTTTAGGTCGACTCTTGCTAAACTTTTTGTTGCAGATTATTAGTCTTAAATGAAGGATGTTGTCTAATTAAAGCACATTAGAATGTATTTATAATCGGAATATATTTCGTTGAAAAGTCGAGTCTTTAAACAATGATTAATCAATCGTATTCAATTAGCAACTAACTATAATATGTAATTTTTATTTGAATCCAATTTGGAATATTATAACAATAACACAAAAACATATTGATTTATTGATAAGCTCAGCAAGTACTATGTGTATTAAGTTATTTTAAAATATATGGTAAAACGTAGTTTTAACTTATATTATTTAATGATCATCTTTTTTGATTGTCATATTTTTTACAGGGAATGGAAATCAACCATCGCAGGCTACCCACGTTTAGAAAACATCAAAAGTGTAATAGAAACATTTAAAATATTATGACGTTATTTATATTATATGTTCCTATAGACTTAAAATGCGACTGAAAGTGTAAATAGGTAGTTAAGGAACGATTTTAAACTTGTACATTCTTTGAGACTCACCGGCAAAGAACCCCTTAATTCTTAAAATTGTTTTTAAGATAATTTTTTAAGAATATGTTGAGGATGCCATTTTTATTGTGTCCATGATTTAGTTTTAGTAAAGTTTTCTTAGTTGAATAATGTTGTCTTAAAAACGAAAAGTTTAAAAAGCATGTTGGATATCAAATAATTATGTGACAATAGATATTTTACGATTTTTTTTTATAAAATCTTTTTTCTTTTCGTAATCATTGCATGAGTTTAGGATTGTATATTTATTAAAGTTTTATTTAATTGCAATACAATGGGCAATTTTTAATTAGTAAATAAAATTGTAAATAATTATATTGAAATAGTTGTTTGTATGAAATGTATTTATGCTGAAAAAAAAGTTACTGAATTTTCATTTGCTTAATGTATGTATTACATATGTATTTCCATTAGTAATCTATTGCTCAAAAATAGTTGTATCGATAGATAATCAAATTATGATTCCATTTTCTGGTAAGAAACATGAAAAATAATCATTACTGTAATTTATTTGAACTTTTAGAATTGAACAGACTGAAAATGATATTTTGTACATTTTTAGGGAAATCAGAAAAGTTGAATTCATATTAAAAATTAGTGAAAATAGTTTCTTTTCAATTTGGAAGATCCTTCTTAGTGTTTGGTATAGCTAAACATATTTTTTAATGAACAAAAGTAAAAGAAAAATGTTTGATCATTGAAATTAGATAGACGAATAAAAAAAAAAGAAACAATGAATTGTCTTGAAAAAATATGGTAGAAAAATACTTTCTGTGATAATGATAGTGTCTGAAATTAGTTGCATTTTATGAAATTAAATATTTTCTCTTTTTACAGTACATGCAAAAAACATGTTTATAAATAAATATGTGACTTTATATTGATTTTTAATGTATAACGGTTATTTATGATGTTTAAAAAATATGAAATACTTAAAAAAATATTTGCATGTCGCAGTGTTTTTGTTCTTTGCATGTTGATATTGTATTATTTTGATGACATAATTTTCATAATCATACAATTCTATAAATAAATAAATCTTTTACTTCAGACATGTTGGGTTTATATTTGTCCTTTACCTTTTGGATTAACAGAAGAAGAAAATCACGGGTATTCAATAATATAAACATTTCTATCTGTCTCAACATTGATTGAGATTGAGTTGAAACTTGGTACACATCTATACTAATAGTATGAAGTGGTAAAGTTTTTAACTTTTTTTTTTTTGTATGTGGTAATATTCGGAAATTCTGATCCGATCATGAAAATTCTTACATCTACGGGAACGTACATTATGAGCGGGTGCTATAGGTGAGTGCTACATATTTACCGAACAAACTTGCGGGTAAACAGCTAGTATATACATATGTCAGTCGTTGACGTAAAGCCGAAAGTATTAAACTGGTTTCCTTACATGAAGACTACGTAGGGAATGGGGTAGCCCTTGAACATACAAAAAGAGTAAGACAATGAGATCCACTGTTGCCCAAACTTTTCGCTACCATACTCGACGAGAATAGAGACCTGTATAAACAAGCTCGAGCGCACTCGACTGACATATACTGACTACATTGTACTGTTTGCCTCATCTTCAAAAGAAATAAATACAATGATTAATGAATTTTCTAAGAGAAGTAAAGAAGTGGGACTTCAGTAAGATTCTGAAAATCCTAAGTAATTACGAATGTACCTAAAGCTTTTATAAATGTGGTAGATCATATGATAGAATATGTAGATAACTATATATGCCTTAGTTAAATAGTATCATCACCACAAGAGACAATAAGAGCTGGGCATAGGCCTCCCCCAAAGATCTCCAACCCGCACTGGGCCAGTGTGGTAGGAGACGGCCCAAAGCCCCTCAAATAATAAATATAGATATCGAAGCAACAACTGTAAATGCATGGTAAGTTACTGGAACTTAAAGGAAGTAATGAAGAATATAGATATCCACACGTTTCCGACAAAGGAGGTTAAATAACTTTTTTTTTACTTTTACATTATATTTTTTAAAAGAAATAACAAATTATATATATGTCATTCTTAAGTCACCAAGCTAGACGTTTCATTTTTATCTACGAATTTTAAGATAAATACATACAACCCTTTTTGGGGTTTATTTTAACATTTTATATTTAAATTTATACGATTTACAATAACATGTTCACACCAGGTCAATTTTTTACAATATAATATTTCCTGTCACAACAATCTCAATTTTTTACTTATTTTAGCACATTGGATTAGTCATAATTTAAAATTACGAAAGGTGAATAATAAAATAAATTATGTTGAATATCAAAGACGAAAAGTCACGGCAGATCGTTACAGTTTAATATAAATTGGTACACAATTCAAAAACAAATCGATGAACATAGCTATTTTCATAAAAAAATATACAAACTTCTTGAACATAGAAGAGTCTCCTTTCAGATTTCGAATGAATTTAAAATACACTATCTTTTTTTTTAACTGAAATAAACATAGATGTATTTTTTTTTTCTCTTTTATAAAAGGAAAACTACTGATTTAATTTTGGTAATCTTTAAATGGGACCACTTCTGTCTAAAGAGCTGTCGAATAAAAAAAAATGTTTTGAAAATCAGTCAACAGTAGAAATATTGGTGAACATTTATTTAAAAAAATCATCTCCGTCGAACACATAATCTCATCCACTTAGATTATGAAGTCGGTTTAAGAGACGAAGAGGTAGACAAATTAGCCAGGGACAGAAACGAGTGGAGGAGGCTGGAGCTTTGGACCTTTGGCAAATAGCAAGAATAAAGTCAGCAATAATACGAGTAGTTTAATTACTATATTGCTCAATTTCTCATTCAACTGAAAAATATTCTTAATGAAAAATGCTTTGAGTATTCCACGTTGTCCCTTGTAATCTGAGGTGGGATTCGTACCACCACCAACCCACTACCTTTCGCAATCCGGGCGACTGCTCTAACCACTGAGTTACCCTGGATCTAACAGGTCTGACTATTAACTAGCAAGATATTCAGAAAGGGCTGATTTTCACTTGATTGTTTTATACCTAAATAGTTTTATTATCGAGAAAATGAATTCATACTCTCTCTTAAACGTAATAGTTCAATGAGATTAAAAAATAAAGACACGAAAGCAACTTGTGGCTGGGCAGCTATTATTTTTATAAATTGTACTATGTCCAAATAAAATTGTGACAAAAAAATACTATTGGAAATATTTCTTTTTGAGCTGTTTGAGTGGATAGCCTATAACATTGATGAAAATATGCCACTAGTAGCGAAAAGTAACTACTTTTCGCTACTAGTGGCATATTTTCACTTCACCTTGAAAAGTTCATGAATGCTGTTGGGTCTCTAGTAGTTGAATGGTTAGAGTAGTCGTCCGGATTGCGAAAAGTTTCAAGTCCCACCTCGGAGTACTACATAGTGGATTTTAAGCATTTTTCATTAAAAAGAAAATATCTTTTTAACATTCACATACTAAAAGATATATATAATAATAACAAAAATTAAACGAGTACGTACCTAATATGTTACCAGCAAATGCTACCCACGCCTGAGCGATCCGTTCGCTCTCCCGCCATCTTCCACCATCGAATTCTCATATGCCATAACCGAAAGTAACATTTTGAAATTGTTATTTACGTAAAATTAAATTAATCGACTCTTATGAAATATATTCTCATAGCACTTAAAGAACTTCCTTGTTCTTGAAAGAAAAGTATACCTATCAAAGAGTTGAAATTTCATAAAAACAAACGCATGCTAAAGAAATTGAAGAGGTAAAAATGTACAAAAAAAAAAAGCAATTTCATTCTATGTGATATATAAAGGCGAAGGGATTATGTTGTGATTCTATGTTGGAGGATTGCTAAGAAATATGTTGACAGATATTTAATTTGAAACACAGTGCGATGATCCGGTTGTACTCAAAGAAATTCATACAATTTATGTTCTGTATTTGCATATCTGAAACACAAAGATCTTATATTGAATGTGTGAGAGTATGCAATGTTAGGGTAACAGGGCTTCTTTTTTGTTACAAACCAAAATTGAAAACGAAAATCCAACGTGTGTGGCCAAGCTAAGTAGTAACGTTAACATAACCTGGTGCCACAACATGAAGTAAGGTACACACGGCTGCATGTCTGCCTTCCGCAATATGTCGAATTTTCTCAATCGATTTCAAGTGTAAAATTCAAGATGAAAAAATTTCAAATCAAGTGGGAAAATTTTGACAGTTATATAAAGCCAGACATGCTGTTGACGGTACTTGCGGCAAATAAGGCCCACGTTATAATTAGGCCCACCTTTGAAATTCTTCTATTTCTATACGGTACATGCATATCAAGGCGTATCTATTGGTTTTATATATGTGTAAGTAAAGTTTAAATAGGAATAGAAGCGTATTAAAACGGGCCTTATTTCAACGCGGGCCTTAATTGACGCAGACGCTTTTTTATGTCTCACTTATATGCTGAATTTGAGAGATCAGCATATTATTCGTTATGAATATGTTTCTTACAACAGTAGGAAATTTTAAGCTTGTTAGCGGAATATGTCAGGTACCTAGATGATGTTTTAAGCATTTTAGATTAAAAATATTATTCAGTATAGCATTGTGAATGCAAAATTGATCGGATATAATAATGAGTATCATTTTAATGGACTTTCCGACAAATATTACTCAATGCAAGTAGCCGATGAGTCATTATATTTTTTACTCCAGACGACTAGTTATATAGCTGACGCTTAGTCTATAGGACGTGGCCATTAAGCGAGCGGGCAAATTTTAGAACGACAAAGTATGATGTTAAAAGGGCCCTGTGGATATATAAATGTATTTTGTTTAA